AGCACTGGTCAGCCCGCACTGGGTTTAGAATTTCACCGGCGCCATGCCAGACCCTTGCGATACTCCATGGCTCGGGTTGGGGCATCATGTTATCGCTTTCAGAATCTTCCGCAGGGGTTACGGATTCGCCAGAAGTGGAAACAAGAACCCTCACCGAGGATTCCATCAACTGGGACGCCATATTTTCCAGCTGACACGCTAGGAAGATCGTGGTACCGGCGACCGAGAAACGCACGCACACTGTCAGTCATGTTTGTGTGAAATCGATGCTCCACAGATAGCTCAGGGACCGAGGGGATTTGTCCACGGAGTCTGGTTTCCCTCGCCTTTCGACAGATGGGCTCCAGATGACGGTTCTGTCCGGTGCGAGGTGTTCCTTCCGCGAATGGGGGAGGGAAAGGGTCGTGATTGTACTCACGTGGTCGCGGACATGTCAGCTCACATTACCAGGAACTAAAGCGAGAGTACATACCTGAAACAAAAGAAAAGACAGGTTAGCTAAAGCCGGATAACAGTTTATGCGAAAAACATCACTTCAATGGGGTGTTTTATAACTGCCACCTCGCTTCAAAGTTCAAGCCGCTCCGGGTGTATCAAAAGATACTTAAGCCCCTGGCGACAATAAACACCACTTTCCACCCTCATCAACACCGTTGGTAGCGCATCAAACGGCGAAGCAAAAACACGCCCCGCAGCAGCAATAAGACGCGAGAGAGCTCTCATATCAATATATCAAAAACAGACTAAAGCGACTCTCATTATTGATCATTCCCGATGGTGAAAAAACATCACAGCCATTTCAGAATAAATTCCTATTTAAAGTGGTCACCGGAGGTAAAGTCAAGATGCGATTGAAAAGTGTCATTCGAAAAGTAAGTTTGAAACATTACTGTGGACAGTGACTTGAGATTGTCGCTGCATTCAACTAAAGGCACTGACCAAATATTTGGTTCCGCCCAAGCAGTAACAGAAGTCAACACCAGCGTCATCCCAGGACAGCCAATACCATCAGCCACCCAGAGTGGGAGCAGAGGCAGCAGGACGTGTCATCCATCGTCCAGCGACCGATGGTTCCCGGGCTGTCCCAGATCCATCTCCGCACTGTCGGCGTCCCTATTACGCCCCTTCCGGCCCGCGGGACGGTGGCCTCGCCGAAAATGGCCGCGCCCGCGACCCCGCGTCGATGCCGACGATGACTGTGTCGATGCCGACGATGTATTGCGTCGGTGTCGTGAGTCGTGACCGACGCTCGCCCCCGCTCGGGAATTCGGAGCAGTGTGGTTGGGCGGGGTTTATGGACGCGTCAAAGGAACGTGATGTCGGGGATATTGTTGATCCAACACGGGGTAAATTTTCCGCCGGGTTGATGCCGGCGGTTATTAATACCATAGTCAGAAACTATACCCCGACTCAGGAGGTGGTAGACACTATCATGGTTAACTTACCGCTACTTTAAATAAGACCATATGATACACATTACACACATTGTTTCCTTTAAGAGAGCGTTTAAAAACAGTTTCCATCCAGCCATTTTTCATCTCGTTTCCGCCTCTCGTTCTATTTCGTCCACCGAGTTTCCATAGACGTGTGTTGGGGCAGCTGAAGCGATGCAGAATATTTCTTATAAAGCCGACCGTCCATCTGCGAAACGACACCGATCTCGGCCGAGTCCACGGTCTGGATTATGGCGTGAGAAGCAGCATATGTCGACCGGAAGCGACCCACTTCCGTCCGAGTGGAGCTGAAAAGACGGCGTGGGCGGAACGTCCAGCATTGCTCAGTGGAGACCTCAGAGTTGCTGGTCCGCACCTCTGCGTTTATTGAGACCCAGTGCAGCCTGATAACACTACAGCGCTCTGATCGCCAGTGACGGTCGAGACATGTCATGACAAATTGAGCCGTGTATGTCCCCTGGTCATCACAAATGCAATCTCGTTCTCATCAAGCCGTCGAGTTTCATTGCAAGTTGCAACGATGTCGACATGCTCTCAAACATCATTGTTCGGGAATTGTCCCGAGAAAAGTCCAATGACGGTCATATTCCGTAGATGACCCTATGAATTGGTGAACTATTGACATATGCTGGACGGCATTGACGGTATTTGACAGCCTCATTGGGTTAGATTGGGGCCTGACTGGCTCCAGTGTTCCAATGTTGTCTGAGAGCCATGGGTGGTTAGAGACGAGTAGAGCTGCGTCGGTCCTTGGAATGGTCTGCGCCCAGTCATCTTCGGAAAAATAACTTCAAAATGCATAACAGTTGCAATCTAACTACCGATCATCAGGTTTGACCAGAATGGGCCTTACCAGTGACTATCTAAGACTAGTACTCGTTGTCGCGGCAGCGATTTTAGCCCGTGCCGTTAGACCTATTACACACGTCCCTCACCTAAATCTCGCACATAACTCACCCGCGCTCACTTAACCATACACAAACCTCAATCTATCCCCCTCTCCCTCTCTCCTCACCCCCTCTCGCCTTACCCACCCCTCCTCCTATCTCCTCTCCTCTTCCCATCCCCACAGCACCCCACCCAGTCTCACGGAGGCACATCGTTCCGCTCCAGTGGACACCGACACGGGGGCGGCGAGGCGGCAGTGAGACGGGGTGCTAGGAGCGGGAGCACGGACGGACGGACGGATGGATGGACGGATGGATGGTAGATGGCGGTCGGTATGATGGTATGGTGGCAGGATACTGGATAGTATGATGGTAGGACGACAGACGGGCAGCGGTCGCGCAGGTGGTGAGGAGACGACACGATTTGACAAACGGAGGCCAGAGGCGGATATCTAGTGATACGGACGCGAATAAAGATCAAGGTAGGAAGCCGAACTGAACAGTCAGAAACGAGAGCCACAGAACATTGCGGCGAGTACTCCAGTCATAAAGTAAGCTACCGAGACATCAAAACGAACCCAATACCAACGTTAAGGTAAACCACCTCCCAAGCAATCTCAAACTTCGCCTTGAAGTCATCCCAAAACAACTGTTCAGAAACCCAGCCAACCACATTGAACTAGAAACGCATTCGTGCAGTCATCCCGACAGGCAAAATCCCAGACAAGCGCGCAGAACATCACGAAAGCAGACAGAAGAATGGACAATGGTAGCGCGACTCGCACGGAGCGGCAGCCGCGGGGCGCTCGGGAACGGAAGTGGCCGGGGCGAGTCGGCGGAAGCGATTTCCTGTGTGACGTGTGCTGTCCGGTCTGCCTCGGTCAGCTGGGACGTGTCTATCGGGACAAGAGGACACGCGGACAGCGCGGGAGTGGCGGACAAAAGTAGTGAGGACAGGGGAGAGCACTCGGGGATATGGACCTTTTTGGTATTGGGTGTGTATGCGACGCTGAGGTTAGATTATGAACGCCCAAGGGGAATGTTTATCAGTGCGCTACTGAGCTGATACAGATATCAGTGCGCTGCTGAAACAGAACGCCAAAACTGGAAAATAACGGCGAATAGATACGCAGAGATCTTATCAGAAACCATACAGGATATTTCCTCTAACCAGGTAAGTGATACTCCAGCCAAGCAAATACCCCAGTGATACAGAATATGGCATTACGTAAACGTAATAAACAGTTGGGAATTAATAAAATGAACCCCTAACGACACAGGAGCACAAGGACACTAACACAGACAACCATGCGTCCCTCGATAATGATTAGTGGTTTGTGCGCCTGGACTGGATAGGTCCTCAGGGCACGGGCACGGGTAAAAAGCATACCACCCGGCCGCGGGGGGAGGCGAGGGAGCCCAGCGTGCGGCATGACCATGCAGCTGGTGTCCAGCTGGGGGCGGGACGAGGTCCGACACAGGTGGCCGGTACATCTGGCGTCGCTGACCGGCGCACAGATGATGACAATCACGGACTCACACACCAGGGGGGGGGGCAGATGGGGAAGGAATGAAGCTGGGGGGGGGGCTTCTGGGGACAGGGGAATGGACGAAGAAATGACGTGGACGGATGACTGGCGGAAGAATCGGCGGTCAAACCTAATGATGGATATCGCCCTACGCTTGAAGTTAGGAGCAGTGGTTTGAAAATACGCAACCCAACAATTTTGGGCGGTTTATTTATATTTCAAGCATTTCCCGCCACACTTTGACGGGAAACACCTAGATATACGCCAAGACACCAGCGGAAGCGTGACTGGCAACCCAGCCCGCTGACGACATGAATAACAAGCCCCGTCATGTTCGGACTAATGCCCTCAGGGCTTCACGACCTCGCCAGTTGGGAATCGAAGGAAATTCCCTGCAGATCATGACCAGCCCTAAAGGAATTCTTCATGCTCCGAGCACCGCGACCAAAGAAAGGCACCGATAAAAAAATAATCACAAAAACTGTAATGATGATGGCCAGCCGCTGGCAGTAATTATACGTGACACGTCACACCATGCCACGTGATTACGTGACGTAAGGCCACGTGACTATGTGACGTGACGCCACGTGACTATGTGACGTGACGCCACGTGACTATGTGACGTTACGCCACGTGGCTCGAACGTGAGTCATGGGACGGACAGGCTGCCTGTTAATTGTAACAAAGTTGGCCGCGGCTGGCGAACACAGAGTCTGAATCATCGGCGTGCATGGCAAACCACCAGAACTCATGTTGCCGAGGCATTGGCGCAGAAAAGCCTCCGTTATGAGCCCTGAAGAGCAGCTCATCATCACTGATGCATCAGCACATCGCTCAGTATCTCGAGTCACGTGGATGAAAAACAACAAAAACCGGTGGAGCGCAGCAAAACAGCGCAGGCGAAGAAAGGTCACAAAACACATCCTGGTTGAGGATCCTGGTATACAGAAATAAAAGGTAACAAAGGCCAGCAAACTGCGAGCGACCCAATTCTGCACCGCACCCCCCCCCCCCCTACCCCGCCCACTTCCCCCACCGAGCCCTACCGCTTCAAGTTTACCATCAGAGCAAACCTCAAACCCTCACATCAGACACTCTGCTCCCTCTCCAAATATCCCAGCTCTTCCCACCTGATACTGCAGCATGTTGGGCATCATCTGATAGAAGGGCGCCATCTGGCTCAGCACGGTCGGGTCAAACGCCGGAACCTCCGGCGTCGGGATCTCGTACATCGCGACGGTGACCTTGACCTCGGTCGGCAGCGTGACCTCGCCCGGCGGCGTGACCTCGGTCGGGCGCGCCACACAGTCCAGGCCGGGAGCGCGCGTGGGCAGACACAGCGCCAGTTCGAGCGGCGCCGGCACTGCGGCGGATCGGCCGCCGGCGCGCCGCCCACCGGCGCCGGCGGCCCGTGACGTCACGGCGTCGGCCGCGTGACGTCACGGCGTCGGCCGTCGGCCAGCGTCGCGTCGACACCGACGAACATCGGACAGGGATGGCCGCTCGGCGCGCAGCCAGCGACGGCCAGCAGCCGCGCAGGGGCGCGCCCAGCAGGCCGCGAAACACAACGCTGCGTGGCAGATGGCCGTGTCGAAAATTAATCAATAAAATCCGTCTAGTTTTCTGTTTCTTCCATTCGTATACAAACGATTTGGAATAATATCCTTCAGAAATATCACAAGCAGCGCAGCTGGTGATGGTGTCACCATGCCTCCCCAGGTGTGGTGCCTTGGTGCGCCCATGGCAGGACCGCGACGCACGTCCGCTATGCCCCGCGGGCAGACCGTAGCGACCTGCACTCGCTCGTCAAAGAACCAACTACGAAGTGTCCGCTCTCGGGCAATCGGCAAGAGTATGACAATAGCTCACCAAATCCAGACAAATGACGCATGAAATCCGCCTGACGGCATGAAGGCCGATATCTCACTTGGTGGGTTAGACTCATCGATTCAGCCAGTAGCCATTTGAACTTCTAGGCACAGTCAACCGAGCTGATCTTCATCCGGTCCAGCCCATTGTCTGAGCATATCTCCCTTACGGATTTATTCAGTACGATCAATCAATGCAGCCTGTTCAACTCATCGACTTTTAGCCCAACTCTTAGATCCATCCAATCCGAGACACTGAATCAGAGGGTCGCCAGCAAGTACGCAGCTGTCTTCCGTTGTTTATCGCTCTTTCAGCAATTTCCAGCACCAGTTTCGTTTTCACCACTGACCCGCTCGGGGACGCATCACTGCCGGACATTTTCCCGTACACCTGGTGCTGGTGACTGCTAGTCTTTAGCGTCACCAACGCAGCCACACCCCGTCATTTCTCTGGGTAGAGCAGGTGGCCGGCCGCAGGCGGGCGGCTCTCAATTTCCCTGACAGACATGCTTTCTAGCTTGGACTGACCACGAGAGACCAGCCACAACATACAGAGAGTTGACGGTAGTGTCGGTGGTCCATAATGTTGGCATTTCTGAGCTCGGATCGTACAGTTTTCACCAGTTCAGCAATGACTGTCCTATCGCCAACATCGCATCAGCTGAAGACGGAACCAATCCTGACAAACAGGAGTTCAAACGGAAACTACGAAGAACACTGGAAGCAACAACGAGCCTAACGAAACCAATGAAGATATGCGAATGGCAGCCCACATTTTCTCTCCACCTTCGTATATCAAGGCGACCGTAGTATTGTGACTAGTCATTCCTCATCTCTCAGCAGTCAGGCATCAGAAGTCAGCCGTCACTGCTGAGCACTCAGCGGTCAGCAGCGAGCCAGTGGCCCACTCTCAGAGTGCGGTCGCGTACCCACCATACCCGTGCTCACTGCTCAGACCGGACCGGACGTCAATAGTGCCTGGGAAGCGAGCCACTCGGTCGGTGGGACCAACAGTGAAAACGGCACGTGTGAGCGGGGAAAGCCGCAAGAATGCTAGACATTGAAGAAAGCAACCAAGAAAGTAAGGTAAGTACTATCTTCTAAGCCACAATCAAGGCCGTATCAAGGCCATATATAGAGACCGTATGCCACAATATGAATGACCATATAACTGACGCTGTATTGCTTGGAACTGACCATATTCTGAATGTGTTCCAGAAAGCGATGCTTCTACTAAATACGTAGCCAATGACTGTATTTTACAGGTGTAAATATATTTGGTATATAAGTGGAAACTCGGGTGACAGCGGCGTCTTTATCAAATGTCGCTATAGGTAAATAGGAGTCGGCGGAACCCAGCCAAAATCAACACAGCTGGATAGTGCGATTTGCCTCAGGTCAGGCTGTCTGTCGAGATTTCACGGGCATTCAGCTGCATCGGGTTGAGATAGGAGTAGGTACCTACATAAAAATCTAAGCGGGCAGGAAAACTTCAAAGCTTTCGGTCTCCATTGTACCCTTACGTTGGTAAAATTCTACCATATTATTGAGACCTCTTATCACCTCATTCCACACCGCATCCACTTGGTTCGGAAACTTCACCATGCACATATTAACCACAATACAAACATATCCTTCCGAACTCATCCACCCACCCCCCATCCCTCCCCCACCATTTTCCCATTTTTTCATTCGCCCTATATCAGTGAGTCAGCGGTTACGAGGTCGCGCCGGGCGTGCCCCGCGGGCAACATCAAAGCGCGCCGCCCTTCATCAGACCAATGGGTGCTGCGCCCGAGGTCACCGACATGTGCCCTCGGGCGATGGGTCGCGTGCCGACAGAAAATTCCGGGCGCAGCACGCAACACGACGGACAGCGAGCGGGGAGGGGAGGGAGAATGGGGTGAAAGGAAATTTAATAAATAATTTCAAAATGAGGAAAGGGACGAAAAAAGAAGGAAAATGCAAGAAAACTAGACAAAAAAATAACATAAAGAGATGTGAAAAGGAATTGACAGAAGACTTCAAGGAAACATGGAGAAAAAGATCAAGAGAGAAAAGAGGGAGTGACGGACGCGCAATATGGCAACGGTTCACAAATCTAAAAAACGACTTCATTTTCCGATCCCAGTAATCATATAGCTAAAGCGAAAGATATCTATTATTCCAATATCTGCAATGTCTATTTAAGTGGAACAGAACTCCGCGAAGCTCTCAGAGGGGCACCTCACAGGGGAGGAGGGGAGGGTCGGTGCCCGTTTCCGTTCCGCTCAATACAGCCACCATCGAATTTCCCGGTCAACTGGCTGGTTCTGTGACAAGTGATTGACATCACCAGACCACGAATTAGCCAAATTGGCAGACATTACAGTATCCGCTGCCCCCCCCCCCCACCGTAACGTCCAGTTCCATTATACGGGTACCGTCGGCGTCAACAATTACGGTGCGGAATGCGCAGTTCGACAATCACTGATGACAACGGATGAGGGCGGAGCAATTCGCGTGGTGGTTAGTGCGCTGGACTGGAACGGTAGGGATGGGAATGACATGGAGTGGGAATGGGATGGGCACGGGATGGGCATCGTATTGAGAGGGGAATGGGATGGGCACGGGACGAGATGGGGCTGAAAATGGGATGTATGTATAAACCATAAGGAATTTAAAAGAATTGTAGTGTTCTGAGTAGGTATCATTATAATAAATGGAGAAGTTCAGATAGCTAGAGATGTAGAAATTTCCAAAGGCCAGCTCACCAGAAACCTTTGAAAGAGGCTGAATCGAGGTTCCTTGACAAATGAATAACCGATAACCTCCTATCTGGTCCATCATTTTGATGACTGGTCTCGCTTCAATGGGAGGTCCTCGAAGCTATTCAAACTAAAAATGTTCGAAGAGAATTGTATCTCTATGAAAATCAAGTCAAGGACCGAATCTCCGAAGACATTTGACGAAAATGATGGCCTGGCTTTTTCGCTCTATAGAGCTCTGGTATTGTACAGATGAGCGTTTGATTCTAAATGATAATATCAGGACAAAAGAGTCGAACCATTGATTCCAGCCACTCTTCTCTTCATATCTTCCGGTAAATCTTAACTTCAAGTTGAGGTTGTCTTCAACATTATCAATGTCAAGTTTGCTGGTGTTCACTGTTCGGAATACAAGGCAGCCTACCTGATTCTTTACATTTCCAAAGGGTGGCAGCACCGTACAGAAGCCCACACCGCTAGCGCCGCTAACGGCCGGACCACACACTAAAGCTTTCGCTCCGCCTCACCAGATGGCAGGGGTGTGCGAATACCGCTCCAACCGCAGAATCGTAGCGGAATACTGAATAGTGAGTACGTCAGAGACAAACCGGTTCTGAGGCGCCGCCGCTCTGGCCAGGAATGCGCGGTGCATGATCTCACCAATGCGCGAGCCGGAAGCGGCCCAAACCCGCAGTTCAGGAAAACCCATCCGACTCGAAAGTCGAAACCACACAGCACGAACCAAAACCCGGTTTTAGTCCTACTCAGCGGAGGATTCTCGGCGGAGGGAGGCCATGATCCCCCTGCTCTAACCTGTCGGAAGCTCAGCGGACGACCGTACGGCCGCCGCGAGGTCACGCGGGAGCCACACCTCCTCCCCTCTCCCCACCCTCCCGTCCTCTCCCCTCAGCCGTGCCTCGGAGCGCTCTGTGAGGCCCGCGGCCGCCCACGGTACGGACTCACCCGGTCGGGGCCACTGAGGACACCATACGGACCACTGCACCCCACACCGCTGACCCGGCGACCGACGGACGCGGCGCTGACGCCGCCTGTCGTCAGGTGTTTGAAATTCTGAGCGTCCCTCGAGACGCCCAGTGTCGCAATGGAGGTTTGTGAGCCCGGAACGGACGCTTCGGCAGGTCATCAAGTAGAATTCAGAGTTCAGTTGGCAAGATTTATGTGAAAAAGGAAACGCACTCGGCATTAGAAATCGTAAGCACTGCAGCATCAATACAGTTTTCAGGGAATTTGTCCGTTATACCCAACTTTTCGAAAACGACCTATCCTGTTTGCATAAAACTTCCGTTACTGAAATAGCTTCATACAGTCCATCAGCCTACCTGCAGCGAATACCCACCCCTGGCCCATTTCACTGAGGTCACGTGACCCGTCATTTCAGTCCAGCCCAGCCCACGTCTGGGAGCACTAGCGATCACGTGTTGTGTGGGTCACGGTACCGCTGGGGAGGGCGGGCAGGCGGAGGACGAAGGACCGTTACTGACCGGAGGGGAGGGACGGAGTCGAGGAGGCCGGTCAACACACGCTGAGGTGTAGGTATTGGATGTGGGATGCCGCACAGTGGACATTTGATACCGGAAAATGGACAAAAAATGCACCTCATTTGACACAGCAACCGGCACAATGCACACTGACCAATGGATGACATTAGATGCCATGCGTTTAACAGCGAGCTGTTTTTGACTGTCGTTTAAACTTGGCGCATCACTCCAAGCAATCGG